TTAGAGGTTCCTAGATTTGACGCATATTTCATTAAAAACCGAATTCATTAACTGACTTTCGTATTACCAATTTCTCCATAAAAACACATTAAAATATCCTTTTTTACCAAGACAGTACGTGTTAAAGTTGCTGTTACTTTTAGATACAACGTGACTATAATAATTACCTGTTTTTTCGAGTTGTTTCACTCGATATTTCAACTGTTGAATTATTTCAATAGATTGATCATTCGATGTTTTCAATTGATCAATATCAATGATATTCTTAACAGAAAAAGATATTAATATTCCATATCCAATGATCGATAATAGGACGAATAGTAATAAACATTTCCAGAGCATCTTTGCTGAGTTGAATATTTGTTTTCTTTTAGATTCTGAATGCAGTGTTTTCTGATCGTAGATAACCATTGAGGTTTGATTAATATTTGTATTGTTACTATTGATCACTATATTGTTACTACCGCAACTATTTTGCTGATTAACAAGATCTAAATTACATTTTCGATAATTTTAAAATATAAATATAGTTAACCACTTACGATGTGGTATAGGATATTTATCTTCATCTTGATCTTCAACAAGTTGACTCATCATAGATGGCATTATCATCGATAAACTCTCTATTGATTGATTTAGTCCATTTGATTGATTTTGTCTCCAATATTCTAGATTAACAAAATACAATAACAAATTAATCAAAAAGAAAACGAAATTACCTCTTAATAATTTCATAGCATCAATACATTGGATTTCATCAAATGCATTTATTAAAAAAGTAAAATCGTTTTCATTAATTTTATCCTGATCGAAAAGAGAATCCATAAGACTAAGTGTTCCGCCAAGTGATGGATCATCTCGAATTCGTCGTGGTACATCATTACCAAGATAGAAATGTAAGCGTTTTCGATCATCATTACTAAGACGATCTTGTAATTTCAATATCATAGCACGCAAACGATGATTATCCATCAAATCGTGTTTTTCCTATAAGAAAACAACTGCATTATATCATACTCAGAATTTTCGAAAACCATTCATTTTCCACAAATATTCCTTGAAAAAATGACTATCATTCAATTGATATTGCAGAGAAATAGAACAAATAATAAATCAAACTTTTTTCTATTAATTGATAGTTAATAATATAACTTGAGGACGCTTCGAAAACTTCCAAGTTATAATAAAACTGTTTCTGAATTTAGTTTTCTAATTGAATCTTCCATCATGTTAAGTATATCTTTACGTTTTATTCTGCTAAACTATACTAATCAGAGACTGATGGGACAATGAAAAACCGTCCCACCTGATTCCGCCAGCAATTTTTGACTATTTTATTCTATACCATATACATGTGTTCAATTATTTTACAGTTGAGAGAACAATAAGAAAACCTAAGAATAGAAAAGAGATAACGAATAGCAACATAATGAAGCATATTATAGCGAGCGAAAAATCAACTTCTTTCAAGTTCATAAGTTCTGAAAATTGCTCAACATGTGTTCACAGCATAGTCGGGATGACCGAATCTTCGTTCGGTAGGTGTGATGTACCACTTCCTGATTCGCTTTTCAATTAAGGTGAATCGACCGCTGTGGCGGTTCACTTCCTCATTTGTGCGTCATGAAAAATGACAATGTCCGTCATGATGATTCATTTTCTTACTCATTCTTCATTCAAGCCGAAATTGGCTGCTGCTGTAGAAGAAATAGTCACGACTATTTTGTACTTTCTTCTCATTGGCATGACAGGATGAGATACAGCATTAATCCCGCCTCCTTCTCTACTTATTTTTTTCTTGTCCTGTCTCATGAGTCTCTGATACTAACAAACTATACGTATCAAAAAGAAAAAAGACACGCATCCTTATATATGTGTAAAGACAGTTACACATGAGAAAGGGATGAGAAAAGAAGAACAAAGAAAAGAAAAGAAAAGAGAAGAAGATAAAGAAGATATATAGAAGTAGTATGATCTAGTGTTGTTAACACAAATCATAACATATCACTACTCTGATTTGTTTCTTTTCGTAATCGTTTGTTGTTTCTCGAAGAAAACGAATGTTCAAATACTTCATATTGTGGACTTAATAAGAAACCTACCTTTTGTATTGTTAACACAAGCACATTATTAAGTTAGATTATACTCGATAATATGCTTTTGTCGATATTTTACCTTCTCTCTTATCTATGGTAACAAAAAAGATAATTTCTCATTATGATTGACAATCTCCCATGACTCAATTGGTTTCCCACGTAAGATAAAAATAAACACTAAATCATGACACATCATATTCAATAATAAAAAAACGAACGAAAAAGAAAACAAAAACATTATAGAGATACATATAGAACAAGCATGGACTCAAAACAAACACAATCCAAAATATAAGAAAAAAGGTACAGAACAGAAAGAAACGAAGATAATGATAAAAGAAAAGTTACGTCAGAAACTTTATACACTACGTTAATGATGAATATTTTTTGATACATTACTCTAACAGATTCAACATCAAAGACGGTCAAGACAGTCCAATTTATTTCATTTTTAATTTATACATTATATTCTACATTGGTGCATATAGTTTACTTGAGACTTTTTCTGTATTTTTTAAAAAAGAACATTTACTTATCTTATAGAATACATTGCTGTTATTTTAGATGTTGTATACCAGAATAGGTTCCAATAGAATGTCATCCGGATGTAGAATTCTTATGTATAAATCGATGGGTTTACAATACACACTTTATTAATTACACACTAGTCAAAAACTATATGACATAATATGGTAAGAATGTTGCTGACTGAGAAATTTGAGACACAAAGATGTAGGATTATGTACTCAGGCATGTTTATAAGTTGTTGACATCGATAGTATCGCACGGTATGTAGTAGTAGAGAGCAGCGGAAGAAATGGGAGAGCATGATGAGAGTGAGGGGAAGAGACAGGTATCCAGCTCTCTCTCTCTCTCTATTGGTTGAAGTGCAAGTTGAAACTTGAAACTTGAAGCTTCAATTGAATTCGACTTTCAAATTTGACACTACTGTCTTAAGCTGGGCCTGGATAATGAAAGTTAAGAGTCTTCAATAGTTTTCACTCTATAAAAATAGAAAAAGTAAAGCACTAAAGAGATCAGTAGAAAACAAAAGGAAGAAATCTGCCATTTAGATAAGATGCAGCAGGGCTTTGGCGACGGATAAGCATCATAAATTTGTTTTTCGAGATGCAAAAATTCTTCTCTGATGTTCTTTTTTTTTGCTTGATTTTTTTTCGAAGTGAAATTTATCGAAGACTTCTAACTTTCATCACGCAAACTCTTACAGAACATGTGTCATAACATTTCGAATATTCGATTTTCTAGAAAATCTCGTGACATGTCTTTTGAAAAAAGAATCAGAATAGTACATTGAAAGGAAAAAAAAATTAGGACGAGAATACTGAAAGGCTTCTGTATTCTGCCGCATCCGGTAAATTCATGTTTATTTCACTTTACATTTTTATCTTCTTAGTCGACAATAAAGATTTGAAAGTATAGGGCTATGATTTCATGCAGGAGTTTTAAATAGCTTACAATTCTTTCCGCAACAATTTTTTACGTGTGCATCTGTGATTGGAAATAGTGGCTTGTTACTAATCACTAATCCTCATGGGAAAATAATTTATTGATGATATAAGAATTATTTAGTGTTCAAGTGTCAGATGAATTATGGAACTATGAGAGTGAGAAATCTGTTAATCACATCATCGAATACTAATCAGAGTTACAGTCGTCAGTAGATAATTTAAATATCTCACTCACATGTCTTTGACCACTAACATTCTCGTGAATAATATTAATATTTAACCTTAAGTTGGATTTAAAAAAACATTGAAATTCGCCTCAATAATCTTCGAATAGCCAATTCCAGTCTATTTTACATAGTAGGGCGTGAGTGTGAGTGTGTGGTGTGGTTGTGATTGTTAGTCTTCTCTTCAACTATACCCACATCCAACCCTTTAGTCCCACAGGGATTGCGCTAACAGCTTTTTTATGAATGATTTATGAAGCTAAGTTCTGTATAAACAACAATCGAACCTTATTGAAAAAAAGATAGATGATTCAAGCTTTCGCCACTTTTTCAAAGAGTATCATCAGAAATGACATTTATTAGTTTTGAACGAATATATATATGTATAAGGGAATGAAGCAATGAGTATTGATTAATTGGACTAATTTGAATGAGAACACCTTGTCACAAAAGTGCTCCTAACGGAGCTACCCAAAAATGAGAATGGAGTGCTGGGGTGTGGATGTGTGTGGTTGTAGATGTGCTTGTTGGGTGTGAGTTTAAATGTGTGTGCTCATGTCTGTTTGAAGAAAATGAACACGCACACGTACACCTACACCCTTTTGCATGTTTTTCGTATGGTTACTTTGTTTTGTTCTCGTAGACTTAGCCAACAAAATAATCTGAAAGTTATTGAGTAAAATTATTTGTCGAATAAAATAAATCCACAAAGTTCAGATGTTGATTAATTGTTTTCCTGTATGTAGCATTTTCTAGAACAAATACTTTACTACGAGTATGACTTCATATATTTCTTTACTATAAAAAGGTTTAAAAAATTATCGTATCTTCAATAAATCTGAATCGTTCATCTTGTGCATCTGAAAGATTAGTACGTGGTCGAACTTGTTTTAAAGCATTAAATTGTCATTGATGTCGTTCGTACTAAAAACAATATTTTATATATTTCATTATTGTACAATTTAATATTTACAACAAATCAAATTATATCATCGAGCTGGTAGTTCATTGATGTGACAAACTCGCCTTCTTTATAGTGGATTTCATTCATCTAAAATTGTTCAATGCATTAGTCCCTCCACACAAAAAATACGTGAATATCTATTCACTATACTAATTTCTCTGTATAAAACACGTAAATATGTATTCACTGCACTAGTCTCTCAACATAAAATAAGTGAATACGTATACAGAAATATTAGAATTAGATCGTTTTCCTCGGTCAGTTTTGCGCGTTCTCTTACGTGCTTCATTTTTCTCGCCTTATTGGATCATATTATCATCGTTTTCTCTTTAACAAAATGTATTCTTGCTATCATATCCTTACATATTTTCCTTTAATATGGTTACTATAGGGGCAAAACGAGCATTCACGTGTGATTAACATCACATAAATTTTCTCTCTCTTTCTTTCTTGCAGTTTATTTTCCACTTTTACAAAGGGTGTGGGCGGGTGTGAGTGGATGTGAGGTGTGGGTGTGGACGTAGGTGCGAGTTTCAATTTAGTTGACCAGAAAACAATGATACCCGCAGCAACATCCACACCCACGCCACATTCACACTAAAACCCGCCCGCACCCACCGTACACCCACACCCACACTCCACACTGACACACCCACACGCAGTATCTTCTTGGAAAATATTAATGATTTATATAAAATTTCAATGTACATTTAATGATGCGCTTCTATATTTAATAATTTCAGTCTGTTTTCATACCATGCCGCTTCGTCTTTAAAATGAAGCCGTTTACAAGCATCTAAAATATTCGTATACATTTTTATGACATTGAATTGTTTTTTCTCTTTTCCTAATGCTGCATACATCTTTCGTAAACATATTGGACATAAATACAACGGTTGTCCATCCATTTCTTCTTCACTTTCTGCTCCGTTCATCAAACATAAATAATAGATACAATGTGCAATGCCAAATAAATGTATAACTTCATGAACAAAGACACTTATAGCTCGTTTAAGTACCAATATTCGTTCTGTATTTGTGCACAGTCCAGCTGTTTCTGTGTCTGGAAACGATGGATCTAATCGAGCAAACGAATATACTCCAATGCCATCTCCGACTGATGCTAAACCATAGACAAAATTCCAGTCAGATTCTGAATAAATATCAGCCATAGTAACACCAATGCAAAATAATTCTTGACGATCATGTTTACGTTCTCGTCGTTTCATTTTTTTTAAATAACCAATTATAGAAGATGCCAAATATTGTGGTTGTTTTGTATATGAATTGATACACTTTCCAGTTTGAAAATGTTTTGAAAAATCAGTAAAATCAATTTGAGGTAAAATTTCTAATTCACATCCAGGAAAAAAATGACATGCAAATTCACATATGGTTTCCAATGAAGGTGCCCTAGAAACAATGATGTTTAAGGATGTCTATTAGGAAACTATGCAATCTGTTTCAAAGCGGTCTTGTATTTTTCCTCCAAAAGTAATCCTTATTCGAAAGCTGAAATCCAGAGAAAAATCAAGGGTAACAAAATGAAACACAAGTATTTTGCTGTAATAGTCGACTGTTCAAAGCCTTCTAGATTACCCCCCCCCCTTACCGAAGTTTCTACAGAACGGCTGATCAGAAAAAATTGAAATTTTCACGGCAGGTAGATTTTGATGAGTAGAGCAAAATTTGTTCTAGACTCAAAGCTTGCATGTGCTTTGTAAACGATCATGAGGCCACAATTGCGAACAATTGTCCGAATTTTCGCCCCCGTTTCTCCAACATGCTACGTTCGATCGAGCCCAAATTTTTCTTACATATACTAGGCATCATCTGGGACAGGTATTTTTTTCTGGTATTTCCTTCATTTTCTTTAATTCGAATAAAAAAACTAAAATATTGAATATACCCTAAAACGCACATGTTTTTTTTGAATAGAAATGTTTCTGTAAGGGCTATCAAAAATCAGCAGAATAATATTTTTTTTGAAACAGAAAAAGATATCCATCTCGAATAATGTCTAGTATATGTGAAAAAAAGTTCCAGCTCGATCGAACGTACTGTAGAGAAGAAACTTGGGGATTTTTCCATCTTTTTTTTCATGAAAAATATGTTTTGAGAAAAATGAAAAACAATGTATAGTTTTCGTTATTTTGTTATTTTGTTATGTAACTTTGATTTCTACTCAATTTTTTTAAAGTTTGAGGATCACTCTCGGGTTTCAAAATGTAGTTGATAGATATATACTACTGCAGACTATACCGTGAGCACAAAAAATCAAAAATTTTGAGTCAGGAAAGCGAGGTAGAGTTACCCTTGAGAGATTGTTCGCAAGACCATAAAGTATACGAAGCATTCGATAGGAAAAACATTTCGATTTTATATGCTGATTCAACGTTTCAATGTCCAAAATTAAAAAACTCAAAAATCTTAGCTTCTGACATCCTTCTTTGAAATAATAGTCAAGACCGACTTTAGTACAATCATGACTTCAATAAAAAATGCTCTATAAAAGTTGTGTCATATTGTGTTTCAAGAGCTCATTAAAATTTTTCAAATTATATACTAGAAGATAGAGAATTAAAAGCTGGACAAAATAAGCTTTTTGAACATAATATGATATCTATCAGCTTAAGTTGTATAAAGTCAACATTAGTCAGAAACGATTCTTTTTCCAAGTCTTAAACGTTCACTCTACAATCCGCGTATCAGATTCAGACAGTTTCAATCCGAATTTTATTTATATTCTCGACAAAATAGAATGTTTGAGTCGAAACATGGTTCGTGTTCTCCTCATTTTTTAATGAGTTTTCAATAGAAAAGAGACATTTTTAGCGATTTTCATCATTATAACAAAATTAAAAAGCAATTTAGTTATGATATTCGAAATCACCATCAAAAACTACATTGTATCACAAATATTTTAGGATTTTTTCCTGTCTAAACTTAACCTGCCGGTGACCACTGGTCAATTTTAGATGTGAAGAAAATTTCTCTAAAATATATGTGACACAATGCAATTATCCACATTGATTCCGAATATCGTAGCTATTTTGCTTTAAAATTTTGTTATGGTAACGAAAATCCCTAAAAATGCCCCTATTCTATTGAAAAATCATCAAAACTCAGGAGAATCCAAGTCTCGTTTCACCTCGAATGTTTTATTTTGTAAAGAATATAATTAAAATTCAGCTTATAACACTTTGATTCTGAAACACAATAGAACACAGAGTGTAGTAAAAGCTGTTAGCGCAATCCCTGCAGGATTAAAATGTGAAACACGATATACTCATTGTGGCTGAACCTCTAAAAACTTGTGTTTTTTATGTATATTGGAGGATATTTCGTCATCACCCACACCCGTCTGTGATGGGCTCGGAGGAGGAGATGCAAACTTCTACCCTATATATTTCAACACATCTTTCAAATCGTGCTTCACAAAATGGACGTTTTGGACTTGAATAAAGAGTCGTTTCTGTCTAATGTTAGCTTTATAAAACTTGAGCTGATAGATTTTATATTATATCCAGATAGATTATTTTTTCTAGCTTTTAATTCTCTAATCTTCTGGCCTATAATATGAAAAAATTCGATAATCTGTTGAAGCGCAATCTGGCAAACTTTTATTGAATTGATAATAGAGCTGAAGTCCGTACTGACTATTATTTCAAAGAAAAGATATTAGAAGATAAAATTTTGAGATCAGTCGTTTCGAATATTGAAGCGCTGAATGAGCAGAAAAATTGAAATTTTTTATCGAGTGCCTCGTATAAGCAATAGACTCGCGAATTCTATATTAAAACTCTATGCATCTTTACCTTGGATGGTTAAATGATCCAATGGGTTGTATGCAGATTATTCTGTGACTGAAAAATATGAAAAAATATAAACTATTGAAAAGATCTTTCTCTAGCGAGATCCTACTTTGTATGTGATACTGTTCGTTTTGTTTGTTCGAATTCTTGTACAGTTTGACCTGGTTCTTCATGTATGGAAACCCAATCCCCTTCGTTTGGTACTGGAAATGGTAAAAAACATTCATCTATACCAATTGTAACCGCTCGACGAATGTTATCATTTAGCTGAAATTTATCAAAATGATAAATAACATATGCTGAATGTTCTTTATATATTTATATCTCGAAACTGATCCTTATACTAGAATTTCGCTGAAAATTCTCTTGCAAAAATTATTCTTTTTATCAGGTACTTACTTGGTATGTGTCACCAAGAGCTTTCGCTCGCTGGTGATCTGTTGGAGGAGAAAATGTTCTGTTAGAACAAGCACACATATATTTGTAAAGTTGTAGAACAACATGTCTGCTCGTTTATTTTTTATTCACTTATATATTCAAGTTATTGCAAAAGAATAATGAGTCATTGTTGTTGTTCTTTACGTGCGTTTTGTTTTATTCAAAGAAAAAGAAAAGAAAAAAACGGTATTGCACAAGGAATACGTCATCATTGATTGAATCGAAAGTCACAGAAACGTAAGAAAAAATTTTCATCCATGACTTTTTTCCTATAATAGTTATATGTTCTCGAAAGTGTTTCTCAAGATCGGTCTAGTTAGTTCTGCAACGTATAGATGCACTACGAGGAGTGTAGGTCAGAGCAGAGGAGATTCGCACCTGATAATGTAATATTATCTTCGAAAAGTATTGCAAAACTGTAAGATTCGTATTTGACTACGCTGTCGAAGCCATTCGTATGCTTGATCTTTTCAACTTGAAGAAGTTAGTGTCATTTATAATCAACATAATCTGTTTTTGCATTAGTATCAATAGTACATCATTTTTTTTCACAACAACCAATACTATAATAGATCATGTCTTTCGACATTACTCTCTCGAAGTTGAGATTCTGAGCCTCACCTTGATGAGTGTAGATTGGTTTGATTTTCGAAAGAACCTCAACACCCACATCCAACCATTACAGCAACAGCAGTTTTTCATCCATGATGGATGTCTCTGGCTGGCATACGTGTGAAGAGAAAATACAAAGTGTCAAGCATCCACACTATAAACGAGAGTATGAGGTCTGAGTGAAATGGATGCGTCTTCTTTCAACTCACGCTCACACCGACACCTCTGATTATTTGTGATCATTTCGATTACAGAAATTCTAAGCTTAAATTTCAAACATTGTATTATTGAATGTGATCTCTCTACCAGAGACTAAAAATGAATAGAATTGAAATTTTTCTATCATATTCGCTTGACAATCACCTCTTTATTTGTTGTATAGCATTATGATCAAATGCAACTGAATTAATATAAAAGATGATCGCTAATAAAGAACATCGTATCTCTTTTATTCCTTTCTTGTTACAGTCTATACTGTACGTTAATATTGGAACTGGCAAAAAATATGAAAGAAATTCAGGAAAGGAAAATATCGAAAAGAAAATCGTCAAGAGTAAAATGTTGGCAAAAAAATATTAAAAGAGAAATATCAAAACTATCACATTTAAACGACAAACGTTTGAATAATTTCAAAGATGCCAGTAACAAAATTGTTACTTTTAGATTTTCGTGAAAAAATAACTATGTCTAACTTTGATGATACTTCACCATCTGCTTCAAACGTAGCATATTCAATATCTGCTACTATATATGAATTATTCGAAGATAAAATTCATTTTCAAGTTATGTCTAATAGTAGAAGACGGTCAATAGCTTCTTGATGGGAAATATTCGAATTGAAGCTATAGATGGGTGTGCTGATCGATCAAGACCAGTCACACAGCAACAGCAACATTCACATCTGCCATTGTCAGGAGACAATACTGTCAAAAGCTGATAGTATGTAAAAATCCATAGAATGTTTTTTTTTAACACAGTGTGAATCGAATTCGAATTAAAGTATTACTATTCGTTTCACTCTGTGATTTCCGTAACAAGATTCTCGATTCTTTTCTGGTTTGGTTTACAGAGAGTGACCAATTATCAAAAGCAATCTGTATTTTCTGATAATATAATGGTTTTTATTGAGTCTCAGAATTATTGTTTGAATTATGTTTCTTTTGTCAACATATGCCATGAACGATAGAAGTCACAGAAATCGTGTCTTTTGATAAAACTTTGCTAGAATTGTAAAATTTTACAATACGTTTCTCAATTACAAATCTATCATGTCAATAGTTAATGAAGAGAATAGCCGTAGTATTTTTTTTAAAGAATATTCGCCATTGTAAACAGCCAATTCAACAATAATCTACTTTTTCTCTTCACGCTTATATATTGATCGATATTCAATCGTGCAGAGGTTGAATTTTGTATCTTCCAATAGGCTACTCATAATTATTGTTCAGTTGAAGGTCATAGATCATGATACAGATGTGTATTTCTCTTTGTTGTAGACTTATGAGAAAGTTTAGAGTGCATTTTCTATTCTAAGGTAATATAATATACATTCGACGCTAAGATACAATGACTACTACGATGGGTTACAGTTGGAATGAAGTCACAAATGATTGGTATTTTGAAAATAAGGTGGTAATATCGACGAATCAGGTTAGTCAACATTTCAGAAAATTCTATTTATTCGGATCGAAAGTCTTCCAATTTACATCAATCTTCATATTTGACTTTTCTAAAAGTTTTATTTAAGCATTGAACATCATGGATGTACATGATGAAACTGATTTATGTATATATATATATATATATATATCACTAGCTACATTGCCGCCTGCGAAATTTTCTTTTTCGGCTATGAAAGTTTTCAAACAATATCTGACGATATAAGTGAGTCTAAACAAATATTTTAGAGTAATGAAGCATCATTTCACATTTCATTTCAGGTCATTCTTTATCGATATCGAGGTCTTTTCTGGTGCCTCATGATAGGTATCGCTGGTTTGTCTCTCTGTATCATTGTTGTTTTGCCAATAGCATCCTTTCTATATAGACCATCATCACTGTTTGTTATTTTTCTTTGCTACTTCCACTGCATAAATAGTTTGTATTGTTATTGATATTCAATACTGTTACTAAGACTTTCTCTTATAGAGAAGCAATCACCTTCGAGTCTTTGTGGTGGAAACAAAAGTGGTTTACTCAATTGGTCGTTGTAATTGGCAATATACTCTGTTGCATTATTGTCTTTGAAATTAGTCATTTATTCTATGCCAACTACGACCCTGCATATGACAAAGAATTAAAGTTGGTACTTTCGAATTCACTTTTTTCTTGGAAGTGTAGTCCGACGGGCTGTTTAATATTAGGATATATAGCGACTACCAATAAATCTCATGATAGAAAGGAGTCTCAATCATTACTTGAAAATTTACTCGCGAAGCAATCTTTTTCGAATCAAAACTTTTTAATAAAACGGCACATTTTATTAGATGATCATAAATTTTCTATTTTCTGGAATCGGTTTCTTGTGTACTATATGAGCAGTTCAATGGCATAGTGATTTTGGATAATGATCCTTGGGGTGATTTCTTTCCATACTATCGAAGTTAGTTATTTCAAATAATCAATCAACATCGGTACCATCGTACACAAACTCACAATCGTCAAACATTTGTGTTCTTTTTCTGTTTGGAATTTATCGAAATGACATTTTCTATTCACAAAATCTTATATGAATTTCAATTTGTCAAATGTTTTCTTATCGATTCGAAATCTTAATTCGTTATATTTTGACATTCAAAAATAAAGTTTTATCAAAATTTGTAAATTGTCTACCCATCACAGTTAATTTTTTTTGTAATCGCTACACCTGAATACTTCTTAACAAATCTTATTTGACAAAGACTGATAGTATCAGAATAGTATAGAACCCGGTAGTCCCATGCAATACCTGAAATCGGAACCAGTCATCTAATGTTAAACACCAAGGAACGTATATTAATTTTTTTCAGAAGGGAGAAGAGTGTGAATGTGGATCAAAAAACAAGAAAACTCACACTAACATCCTCACACACTCACATCCTCAACTGATATATATAAACTTCAAGTATCAACTAACCTGAGTTATGAAGTACTGAACATTTTCTAGTAAATTACGTGAAACCAACCACTTTCTTTTATGTATCAGAAACACTAAAAAAAACTAATGTAACAATTGCAACAGGCCATATATATGTGAAAAAGTAAAACCTCATTTAATGGCAATGGTAATTTACGTAGAAGTGATGAAAACAAAATACTTTCTGACATCACGAATAACAAATGAAGCTAAAAGGTGAGCATCGCTTTTCGTCGCATACAAGCGATTCGAAAGAGAAACGAGTTTCGACAACATTAAGTTTCACACAGATAAAAGAAAGAGCCTAATATTATATATTTTACTAGTAAATCTTCGGCACTTCATAATTCAGTTTTGTCTCTATTTGAAATTTAGATATACTAGTGCTTGCGATCGAGTTTCTTGAACAGTTACGTTTAATGTGGGAAATACTTAGACTTACAGAGAAAAAAATCTTTTCAAAAGAATGATAAAAAGACAATTTTTTTTTGAATACACATTTGATCACATCTCGAGAGGAACGAGCCATAGGCAAGAAAGGTTTTGTAGACTTTGTAGTCTCACTGAAATCTACTTTTAGCCAAAAATATGAGGTCCAAAGCTCTTCAATAGTCGAGGTATCTCCCTCGTAATTTATTTTTTACTTGAGGGTGTGGGTGGGTGTGAGTGTCGTTGAAGAGAGGGTACACAACCACGCCCACGTCCACATCCGCACCCACACTTACACTAACACTTACATCCATACCTACATCCACACCCACACATGCCCACACTCACAGCCACACATTCGCACATCCACATCCTAAGTTGTAGCTGGTGGTAAAACTGCTATAGTTCTGCGTTGAACTGCATCTTTGATTCGGATTGCAAATGAGTAACTGCCTTGCAATAGCTACCAAAACAGGTAGGTAAAATAGGTGAATATCACTGATTGGGTACTAGAAGTAAAGCAGATGTTTCAATATGAAGATCTAATTGTATTTATTCGATAATATGCAGTTATTCAGTGTTGTATGTTTACTATATACTACAGACCTTTCAGACTACCTAAGGTTTCTTCTGCTCCGAAACGATTAAAAACCTTCTGGTAATATACTAGGAAATAATGGCTAGTGAATAATGTTATTCTTTCGTCGATTTTTGTCGGAGAGTTTATTTATATTTTAAGTTATTATCTTACAGTACTACATGTCATCATCCATCTTGGATCGATGCTCAAAGATGCCCACTTAAACCCGTATTGTGATATAACGTCGCAAATATAACCTGCCATGTAGATCGGTTTCGAGGAATTGATATAATAAATATTCATCTTTTAGATCGATTAAGTTTTCAATAGTTTTCAATAGACAATACAAGTTCATATACATCAATTTTTAAACTACTACAACGATTGTTTGGTTTTAAATATAATTCATCGATAGTTTCTAACTTTGGGCTCTTCAGAGAAAAACCTTGGTAACTCACGAGGAAACATCTCCAAGTGCTAAATCGTTTCTAATGTTGGATTATATTGGTTCGATGAATATTGATAAGCGTTGAAAAAGTCTAGAATGATTTGGTTTTCCTGACCTTCGTTTTTATGATATCGAATTTTTACTGAATCTTCCTACAACATCCCGTACTTTACCTCAGGTCATATTGAAAGTTGAATATTTGATTTTGACTTGAAACTTTGCATAAATAATGTTTTCAATGAAACTAGTGCACGATGAAAGTTTCAGCCCTTTTCATTGCTTCTGTCATGAGATATTGATATTCAAAATTTTGTTGTGTGAGAACGCAAAGTTTGTGCTCTTGTTACTATATCTCGACAGAAGCAATGAAAATGGCTGAAATTTTCACAATAGACTGGTTCCATTGAAAGCATTATTTGTACAAAGTTCTAAGTCAAAACTAAATATTCATCTTTCAACGTGACCCGAGGAAAAGTACAAGGTTTTGTTGAAAAATTCAGTAAAAAACATACTTTTCAGAAATTTTACGAGTAGAAGAAGCTAAATAAGCACAGATAATCAACATCAAGTGGGAGGCATGGTTATGCAAAATATCAAATTATAGCTATATTAATTGCAAGGATTAATCCTGACCCTTTTTTTTCTGTCCACCATGCTCCGCATCCACAGTATCGGCATTGGTCGCTTATCTCTTTTATATTCTCAACTAGATATGCATCTATTGACATTGTAACATGTATATGGGCTTATCTTTCTGTTCGTTTGTTCTTTTCTCTTTGTTTTTCGATGTGTGTTTAGGAAGTTGTGTTCTAGCCTTTTCAAGTAAGCATATTCGCATACACACGAAATAAAGAATATTGAAAATTGCACACTCTTCGTCACACTATTCTATACTTTCTCATCACAGCTAATTTGAACATCAAAAGCAACATAAAGAATCATTTACAGAATTTTTTCATTGGTTAGTTGACTCATTTTATCTATAATTTTTAGATATACCTTATGCAGTCCGTAGCCGAAACTTCAGCTGCTGTGGCCTCTTCTGACACACGGCGAAAAATTATTATTGATACTGACACAGCTACCGATGATGCACTTGCCATTTTGCTAGCACTATTCGCTCCTAACATAAAAGTTGAGGCTATTACAATAACAGTTGGAAATGTCGATTTTGAGCAGCAAGCAAAAAACGCACTCTATACATTGGAAATAGCAGGTAAAGGTAATGGTAAAATTCCGGTTTATCGAGGTTGTTCAAGACCGTTGATGCGACAAACCCATGGTACAGCGACCTATATACACGGTAATGATGGAATGAGTGACTCATTTTTTCCGGATCCAAAGCAGAAGCCAGAAGCGGAGCACGCTGTAGATGCTATTATTAGATTAGTCGAAAAATATCCTGGTGAAATAACTTTGGTTGCAATTGGACCTCTTACTAATATCGCTTTAACATTATTACGTAAGCCTTCTATTGCCAGTCAGATAAATTCTATTTATTTCATGGGAGGTTGTTATAAATTTTATGGTAATGTTACACCAGTAGCAACATATAATCCATGGGTTGATCCGGAGGCGGCAAGAATCGTTTTTCAATCAGGTATTCCTATTACAACTGCTGGATTTGATATCAGCTGTTACAGTTCTATATTTACGGATGCTGACTATGAAGAAGTACAAAAGCTAGGAACAAAACTTGCTGACTTTTTTCTAAAGATTAATCGTATACGAAGAGTATTTTGTAAAGAACGTCAGAAAATGAATGGTTCCAATCATCCTGATGCACTTACAATGGCAATTTTAATTGATCCAAGCATTGGACAACAAATGCTATCACGGTATGTTGAAGTAGAAACACAAGGCGAATTGACTCGTGGTGTACTGGTTATTGATGAACTGGGAGTTATGAGAAAAGCACCTAATGCCACAATTTGTGCACAAGCAGATGAAAAGCTGTTTAAAGAAATGGTTTTTAATACATTAAAGATCATATAATTTGTGTGTAGTTTTATGTTGTGTTCTCCTTTCTTTCCGTAACATTCGCCTACATACACATAGCAGAAGAAGAATTCAGTTTTAGATTTCATGTTTAACGATATTTTGTCTTTCAGATGATTTTATAGCGTTAGGCGGATAATTATGAAAATAAAATCTATTGAATATTCTAATTTCGCTATAAGCCACTCTTGGAACCATTTCTCCTCTTATTTCCAAAAAAAAAGAATTGCAGAGAAATGCTGGGTAGGCCTAGGGTGAAGATGTATGCGTGTGAACGAGTGGGTAAAGAGAAGACCTACCCACCCACACTCACACCCATGGACCATTTGGATCAATATTATAGTCCTTTGGTGAGTGTTCTAGACTACGATTGGGATTATGCTACGTTTTGATTTCATAAAGAACATTCATTTATTTTATGACTGATGAAAGAAAAGCAACGATATCTTTTTTTGTTAAATACAAGATAATAGAGCTGTAAAATTATTTTCTTTCTCTACTGAAACAAAGCTGAACGAAAAAAGAACAATAGTGTGCTTTTTCACGTCGTTTAATTCGAATTCTAGGAAACAAAAAACTTATCAGTTATTACAATTGTTGCGAGAAGTAGTGTGACGAGTGTTTTGATAATAAAAATGAGCTTGTACAATTTCTTTCAATAGAATAATTAAGTCGTAAATAATTGCAGATGACATCTAACCTGCATTCAGTATGTATTGTATCAAAGAGTTTGGCATCCAAATGTAGTGTCGAGAATTTAAATCCTACATATAAGATCTTCATAGACCTAAGGTATGCGTATTGGTATCAATAGAGAAGATGTTCATCCAAACTTATTAAATATGCTAAAAATGGATCTTGTGCCTCATATAGGGTATGGGTTTTGTTCCGTTTGTCAACAACATACCCACATCCAACTGACATTGTTGATATATTCATCTTGATGAAAAGAAAGTCGCTTGTGATAGGTAATGTCCAACACATGCGATGTGTACAACCTAAGGAACAGTTCGATTAGAAATCTATTTCTTTTAAGCACTTTCCAATGTAACAGGATCGATGAGGTCGTAGCTGAGTATTTGGCTAATATACTGAGAGCTAATACAGAGAGAGAAGAAGCTTTTTTTGTTTTTTCTGTGTCTTACATTCCTTGTCATTAACGTTCAATGGAAGATGCAAAGTCATGATATACATCTATTTTTCTTCTTTTTGTCCTGTTCAGACGAATGAGGCTGTCGTTATCCATTCTCAACTCATCGGTACGTTCGATCATGATATATGATGACCGCTATACCCAGGTGACCGTTGAAGTGAAATGACAAATGACGATTTCTTTTTTCAATAGCAGTCGATCATATCGACGCATGAAGCTTGTTAAAATCCAATGTAGAACTTTTTTTTTACTGTACTATGTCAAGACAAATCAAAACAATCTTGTGTGGTCCTTCATAGAAACACGTGCCGACTGTCAGAAAAGTTATGAACTAATTAGTTTTTGAAAATTATTTTGAAAGTTCACTCCAATAGCATATGTATTCGACAGCAAATACAACCAAAAACTCAGATCTACGTACTTGATTATAAAAAAGCTTTCTTATCTTCCAAAGGTTCTCACAAACGAAAAGAGACACTTTTTCATAAGCAACAATATTTTTGTAATCTTGAGAACTGCGTGAGTTCCGTTTTCACCCACCCACACGCGTCTTTGCAATTTTGATTGTTTAATATACACATCTATTAAGTGTCATAATAATCGATTGCAATTATTACAAAACAAGAAGCTTTCAAACATATATAAGATTCACATAATGACTGAAGGCATTTGTTTTGAATTTACGTTGATATTAAATGAGACAAAAAGCACTACATAACTACAATTTCGTTTTTTAAGCATACATTCATACTCAGTTATCATATTAAGAATGCATAAATGAAATATTTTAGTCTTTTTTATAAACATCCAATTGATACATTTCGACCGCAGCCTTGTTCTATAAATGATTTGAATTCATTGAAATTCAGCTTATAATCGCCATCTCTATCAGCCTTTTGTATTTGATGAAGAAGTAAATAGGGATTTGTTTTTGGCAAGATGATACATATAAATTCATGTAATTTAGTGATATCGATCGTATTAGAACGATCAGTATCAAGAAGACGAAATGCTTCCGGAACATCTTCAATGGCATATTTTCCCATCATAAACGTACGTAATACTTTTATGAACTTATCATAGGACATTGATGGTCTGTACAATCTCGATGCAGTCCGGTTATAATCTTGTCGAGACCACTTGATATGATATTTTTTATTTTTTCCATAATCATTTTCATCATATTCATATTGAACTTCGGCAATTTGACCATATTTTTCCGATATAGTTTCCGTTACGATTATTTTATGTTCATTAAACATCTTAAATGTAATGTATATTTTGATTTTCAAAAAAAAAAAACATTAGTCCCTTTCTATTGCATCTCAATTCAGAAATGGATGAATTTTCTACAAATCCATTGTTGAAGAGTAAATTATCATCTGTAGTAAATAGGATATAATTCTACAAACTATTCATTTATTCCCATCATAGAAAACATTTAGTTGAAAGCTACTTTTAATCTCTAGAATATTTGAAAGTAACAAAAATGTTTATCTAATGCAAACCTTCTATACAAAATTTGAATGTAAATGGTTTACAAAAAACATAATTTTGGAGATCGTTTCTACAGAAACTGAATCAAATCTACTGTTCAGCTCGAAAGTATAAAAGTGAAAGAAAGGTTTCCATTGAAATGAATAAATAAAAGAGTGTTATAATAATTTAGTTTTGTGAAAGATTACATCAAATGAAAAGTTATAGTACTACTCTTCCGCACGCATGTAGACTTCAACGTACAGGTAATAATCGCTTGTTGCTATAGAAACGTTCGTATGGTCTTATGCTTTTAGCAAAGTTCTATATCTTCGTCATGAAAAGTTATTCATTATCAACTGAACATATGAACTCGTTCATGTTGCTCGGGTTCTTTTATGTGCTTTTGCTATTTTTTTTTGCTTCGATAATCATTTCGTTTGCCACTTCATATATTGAAATCTTAAGGAGTATGCATTTTTAAAGCGAAATTCTTCAGACTAAATACATCATTGTCAATCTTGAAAAAGTTTTAATAAATTTCATTGAGGGTGTAGCTTATTCCATCAGCAAACCTTACACAATATTATATTACATAGATTTCAATATGAAAAGATAAAGCATAAAATAAAGTAAAAAGTATAAGCATTCATTGATTTTCTTTAATGTTTTCATCATGGTCATTATTTAACTTTGAACTAAAGGAAAATCGAGAGAAACCCCAAAATTAAAAAAAAAACTACTTAAACTTTGCCGTTAAAATATTTTGAGTAATTTAGGTTTTGAGAAAGAGAGATGATTGCATTTTTCGTACTATAGAACTGACAATCGAAAATGTGCTATGGCTAAGGGCTGAATCAATATATGATATTCTAGTCAGTGTTTGCAATGAACTTCAGAATCTTTATCGAAATGATATTAATGTGCTGCATGCACTTTTGTCTAACGCTTTGAGCTGAGTTAGTTCATGACTTTTTTTGATAAAGCCTGACTCGGGTTTGACATGACTTTCTCATTCATAATGTCGCATACACTTTTGAGCGTTACCGCAAACACGGAAAGGACGAGAGTTACAATTTTATTTCAAGATAGGTGTCGACAGATCGCCTCTCCATTCACACTCACACTCTGAATCGAGTTTGTTGAACCGTTTAACTTATTCATTTAGACAGTTACAATTCTTTCATGTAATTGAGTTAAATTTAGAAAATTTATCTTTTATACTCAAGAAATCGAATTACTAAACGTTGATCAATATGAAATTTACTTACCATCGTGAATGAGATGTTTGAAGAAATCCAAATTATTGTTGTACTTGTTGATAAAATCAGAGTAAAACTGAAATGAAAAAAGTTTAGTAAGTTGTCTCTTTAAATAGCTTTGATAGTAGCGGTTTTTGAATATTTTTATCCTACTACGCTGAAGAAAATAGTGGAGAAAAAAGAAAATGATATAGCTAACGATTGCAATAGCTAAATTCTGTCTCTGTTTCATAAATAAAACACGTCATTGGTTCTTCTTGTTATTTTTTTGAATATTTTAATATATTTTTATTTGAACTTCTACTTCTGACGTTTATCGATCTATGTATTTACGTGTTTTTCCAGGAAAAAAGAATGAGTAGGAACAAGTCAATAGAAATCGAGGACTTCTTTCCCAAGGACGAGAAAAAAAAACAGACGAGAAAGTTTTAATTAATCCGTAAGTTAGTTCAGATATTTGCTTTCTCGTATTTTGTCTATAGAAAAATATTTTTTTTTCTTATTATGATAGAGAAAAGAATGCAGATGGTATTATTTGCCATCAACAACAACTGCTTATGAAAATATTTAAGCTATTTTACTCTTTATATAGAATCGATCTTTTTATTTATAACAAATATTTTTTTACCTGCTTATTGCATCCAACAACAATTTACTAAAAATCACGACTTCAATTTTAAATATGCGACGTTAAAACCGCATGATGAATTAACCTAAAAAAACACATAGGTTGCGTACGGTGATACAGCATTAAAATGAGATCGCTCACGAAACATAATCAAGTTTTTCTAAAGATGGCAAAAAAAAGCAATCGATTACACGATATTTCTCTAATTGTTAATTAATTTCAAAAATGTTCTAGATTTAAATTTTGCTTGTATATACAATGAAATCTTTATCAAAATAAAATTTATGATTACGAATTCTATAGTAGATCAACGATAACAATCAAGTATTATTACTTTTCTACCTAGGTGCAGAAAAAAAAAGAATTCATTGAGAGCAAAGTATTCCAATGAATTATTGACGAAGGAAAGAATGCAGTCAGCAAATTGTCAAGATCTATGAGCATCAAGAATTTGTTTGAGAATGGTCTCATCTTTTTGACTTTATCATTATCATATATCATTCGAGAAAATATGTCGAGTTAAATAGGGAAAATTAATTTTAGTACTTGCTAAACTCTGTCTCCATATTGAAAAATCATCAAGAACTCGAAAGATTTGATTTCCAAATAATTCAATTTTCTTCATTTAATGTTTTTTTCAAGTTTGCAAGCTATTTTCTTCTGATCTTCCATCAAAAATTGATACCATCGAACGGACTACACAAACTTCAGTCCTCCTGAATTTGATGCCCAAAAGTCTTTCATTAGTAGTTGAAGTCAACATTGTTGTCTCATGTAATTCATCGTAAAAACGAGCTAAATAGATGTCTATTCAGATTTTTTGAAATGTTTCTACTTTTAGAATCAATGTGAAAATCTGATTCGAATGATTTGAGTTTTGAGATTTTTGTACGACTCTGTATTTACATCATTCAAATAAGTTTTTCACATTGATTCCAAAAGAATTAACATTTGAAGAAACTGAATAGATATTTATATAGCTCATTTTTACGATAAATTACATAAGACAATAATGTTGGCACCAACTATTAACGAAAAATCTCCATAGATGTCTCATATCCTTATGCTCGTTCCAATTATATTCACCAAGTTCTAAACTAGTTAAGTCCCTTTGTTATCAGACTATTTTATGATGAAGATTGATGAGGATTTTATTGATAAATTTAACTTATGAGTATCAAAATGAGACAATAAATTTAACCATATCTCATAAAGATTCAGTTTGTCAACCTCGCAACATTTGATGCACATTCATTTTTAGAAAATTCATAGTAACAGAGTTTAACAGCTGGTGTGATTGATGTGTGGCCGTCAATAAACGAACCATATTTGATATCATGACATGGAAGATGCATATCTCGAATCTCAGCAATGCACTTTTCAATTTTAATTAACCATAATTGCTTCATCCACTTTCATGCAGACTTCATCCTGAAAAATAGTATCAAAATGAATTTTACTATGCCTAATTTTTCTTAAAAATTTCTCTCATTTTTGAACACATGCCACTGTGACCCCTGCACAAGTCTTCGAAATAAATCAAATGATTCATCATTCTCGATAATTGCAATTCACACATATTAAAATTATTCTTGATTTGAAAAAAATTGTATTGGGTAAAGTATTGACTGAATAATATTATTTATAAACGACAAGGACTACAATTTCACCTTTCGTTTTGTATAATTGATGCTTGTCTGTCCATTCTAATAATCTTCCTGTCTATATGGTAATCGATGTTTTTCTTTTTCGTTTCTGAAAATTTCTCGTGAGCAGACTTTCTTTCTTCATTTGAAATATAACGAATAAGACAAAAGTTTTCCAGTAATTTTCTTTTCATTCACATGTCACATACGAATATGCTACACTCTTGATTCATTTGTCATGAGAAAGCGTATAATCTAAAGTATATACGCATTTATCTTTTCATCGTCTATGCGTATTTTTGTTGCAGATGAAAAAGACGAAAGAAAAGAGCTACATTTGCCCGTCTTAACTTTCTATACAAAAGTAGACGTTGATAGTTTGACAATCATATGTAACTTTTCCAAAAAAAAGAAGGTTATCCTTATTCAACTATATATCAAATTATCCAAAGATACAAGCAGTTTCAAACAATATAAGATTCAATAAGATCTGGTCGTTCATGTAAAGTAAAAAACAAACAGATGATATAAATCGCATGTACTTTGAATAACAAGACAGACATTAGTTAACGAAACTTGATCCATTATTGTCATGTTGATCAACAAACAATTGGTCGCAATTTATAACAACGAATCGACCTATACCCATATCCATATCATAGTTTCTGCTGTGTAGATATCTCCTGCCTCTTATCACACCTAAACACAACAACATCCCTACCTCATATACACCAATACTTACACTCACACCCTCAAGTCTTATGAAGTTTGCTATTCCTCTTTGAATGGCGCTGACAGTTTTGTTTTTTGATAATGATGCAAAAATTGCTTTTAATTTAATTATTATTTAAACGATGAAAACATATGAAACATAGCTTTCTTATTATTTAGTCTAACAATCGATTTCCTTATTTCAAATTAAAAATATAAATAAAAGTTTAAATTTAAATTTATTTTTCATATTAAACCTATACAAATAAAAGACAACTACCATCTACATTAATATATGGAAAAAAAATGAATCATCTAATTTAAACCTATATTCCAAAGAAATATTTCATTTGATGATGTTGTTATTAATGAATCATAAGATTTATTTTTTAAAAATTTAATATTTGATATACTATCACTGTTACCAATAAAATCCTGAAATGTTTCCTGAGTATAATCTTTTAATTGTACTAAACGATCTTTTGTACCAATTGCTATTAAACAATTTTCATTTTCATTATTTTTAATATTTGATATATCAAAACATGAACACCATTGATTTAATGATATTGTACGAATTATTTGTTTTGTATCAAGATTATAAATTTGTATTGATTTTTCCATTCCATAACCAATATACATTAATAAATTTTGATCAATAAAACGAGCTAAACTTGGTGGATATGATTGCCAATTATTATTATTATTATTATTATTATTATGTATAGTTGTACCATCTGGTGCAAATGATGGTGCTGAAAATGTTAACCAATCAATTAATTGACATAAGTCAAATTGTTGATTTGATTTCCATAAACTAACACGTCGATCATGACTTGTTATTAACCATATATATAAATTATTTTCTAATAATTGTTTAGAATCAATCATACAAATTGGTGCATTGCCACGGTGTTCATTTAATACACGTAAAACAATACCTTGAACTAGATTTGATATTGCGACAGAACCATCT